TCAGCAGTATCCCTCGGGCCAGGAGGAGCCCCCAGGAGTAATGCCTGTATACCGGCCCATATATACCCCTGCTGGCCCCCTCACCCAGTCAGTTCCTTTTTACCGCCATAAGTGTCCTTGGAACAACCCTCAGCTCTTGCTTTACCAATCATGCGTAAGTAGTTCTTTGTTATCAGTTAATCACCATTGTTAGTTGTAAATTGAGTTGAAAAGACTGTTGATTTAGTTGTTTGTTTTGCCACCACTGTGCTCTGTGCGCCCGCGGTGGGGTATGCCCAGGCTGCAGGGATTCAAACCCTGCAAGAAATTCAGTCGGCCCATGATCTGTGGTGATACGCACTTGGCGTGTTTAAAGTGCCTGAGAAAAGCTCATCTGTCAGAGAGCTGCAAGATTTGCAAGGCCTTTAAGCCCTGCACGAAGAGCGAAAGAGAATCATGCCTTAAGATCATGCTCATGGAGGCAGCCTTGAGACCAGCACCGGCATTGGACCTGGCACTGGTGTCTCCGAGTGCACTGGTGTTGGTGCGAGATGCTTCGGCCCACTTCTGTGCCTCCCAGGCACCACACAGGCCCCGGCCCCCGTCAAAGGCCCTGGTGCTGCAGAAAAAGAAGAGGCCGAATGGGGCAGGTCTCTAAGGCGCGTGCCCTCTGTGAGCCCCTTGGTGGGGCATGTGGCACCACACAGTGCCGAACCCAGGCCATCTCGTTCGGGTGGACACTCATCTCCTGGCAGGGGGCCTAGCCCTCCTGGGGACTTCCTGGAACTCCCCACCCCGGAGGCCTTCGAGGCAGCGAGAATTTTAATTGAGTCAGCTCCCTCGCCACCACCATCGCCAACTCCCGCCATCAAGGTTGTCTGAGGGTGTAGTTCAGGACATCAGGAAACGCCATCCGATGCAGTCTGCACCCTCAGCACCAGCCCCAGCACCTGTGGCACAGACATCGGAACCGGCACCGGATGTTTCCTGGCAGGGGGCACCCACGCTGCCATGGCACCGCCATGTGGCACAGACCACAGCACTGAGCCCTGTGGCTCCTTCCTCAGCACAGCCTCTACTGTCTCCGGGCTCAGTCATGCCGCCACCTTCTCTCCAGCACTGCGGCAAACCTGAGTCAATGGCAAGGCCACAACAGCCTCACCCTGGTCAGCCTCTGGGTACTCGTCCCACTCAGAGGCAGAATCCACTTGGTCGTCCAGAGGCTCCAGGTCTCGTTCCCGGCACTGATCACCCTCACAGCACCGATCACGGCACCACAGCTCGTCCTCCCACTACCGCCAACAGCAGTGGGCATAACCAGTCCCAGTGCTGATAATACATCAAACATGGCCCCCACAACCTCCAGCCCAGTGGCCTTTCTGGCCTCCCTGGGCTTATTACCAAAACCAGGGTGTGGACCCTTCCAGACCAAGTTCAGTTGTCTCGGGACATCGAGCCCCTCCGTCAGCTACCCCCTTGGCCTGATCCCCCATGCCAGGGATTTTGACGGGACGGCACATCAGTCTCCTTGCCCATTTTCCGGGATCGCTTATTCCCTTTCCTGCAGGCCTGGCACTCTATTATCTCAGACTGGTGGGTCCTGGAAATAGTGGAAGGGGGATATACCATTCCGTTCCACTCAATTTCCCCACCCTCCTATCCCATCCCTCTTCAGGGACCCATCTCACGAGCCCCTCCTATGGGAGGAGGTTCTTCAGCTCTTTAACGTGGGAGACATAGAGCCTCTTCCCTCCGGGGCCCTGGGCCGGGGTTTCTACTCTCGTTACTTTCTGGTCCCGAAGGCCAAAGGAGGCTTTCTTCCCATCCTGGACCTTAGAAACCTAAACTCCTTCATTGTCAAAGCCAGATTCAAAATGTTAACCCTGGCATCCATAATCCCATCGCTAGCCCCCAGAGACTGGTATGTTGCCCTCTATCTGAACGACGCCTAATTTCACATCTTGATCGCCCCTCACCATCGGCAGTTCCTCCGCTTTACGGTGAGCACAGACCACTACCCTTTGGTTTACGGCCCTGCCCTTTGGTATCTGTATGGCATTCCATGTCTTTACCAAATGTATGGCGGTCGTGGCCACTGCCCTGAGAAAAAGGGGCATTCAGGTGTTCCCCTACCTAGATGATTGGCTACTGAGGGGACACACAGAGGACCAAGTACGGGGCCACATTTGGTGGTCTGGAACCTCTTTGGGGAGCTGGACCTTCTCCTCAGTATGGACAAGTCAACTTTAGCCCTGACTTGGGTGATAGAGTTTGTAGGGGCCACCCTGGACTCAACGTTGGCAAAGGCCTCTCTTCCCTTAGGTCCTGCTTCCTGGCAAAAGAGTCCACCGTCCGCGGTCTCCAGAGATTTCCGGTGACCACAGCCCGGTTGTGCATGCGACTCCTTGGCCTAATGGCCACATGCCCCTATGTCGTGCAACATGCTAGACTCCGCATGCACCCCTACAAATGTGGCTGGCGCAAGTCCACAACCCAGCCCTCCACCCGTGGGACAGAGTGGTGACGGTCCCGGTAACGGTCCTGCATTCGCTGACCTGTTGGACTCTTCCGGAGGAAGTCTGTGTGGGGGTCCCTTTCTCTAGACGAGTACCAACTGTCCGACTTGTTACGGACGCCTTGGACACCAGTTGGGAAGCATACCTGGGTGATATGCAGATACAAGGTATGTGGTCCAGGGAAAACCTCTCCCTGCACATCAATGTAAGGGAACTCCGGGGAGTCAGGCTGTCCTGTGCAGTTTTTCTTTCCCTCCTCAGGGGCAGGTCAGTCCTCATTTTGTCAGACAACATGATGGCAGTGTCATATATAAACAGACAGGGCGGAGCACGTTCCCCCTGCCTGTGTCAGGAGGCGATTCACCTGTGGGACCTCTGTATCAGGGCAGATGTCCACCCGACGGCCGCGTATCTCCCGGGCTCTCAGAACGTCCTGGTGGACAGGCTGAGCAGGGCATTTTTGAGTGGTCCCTCAGGGAGGATGTGGCTCACTCCATTTTCCGCAGGTGGGGATTTCCCCAACTGGAACTGTTTGCCACAAGGCAGAACGGGAAGTGCCCGAGGTTCTGCTCCCTCATGGGATTGGGATGGGGCTCCCTGGGAGATGCACTCCTTCACCCTGGCCTGGGGACCTGCTTTACGCCTTCCCACCGTTCCTGCTCATCCACAAGGTCCTCTTGACAGTGCAGGAGTTCAGGGCTTCCCTAATTCTCATCGCCCCAGTCTGGCCCAAACAATACTGTTTCTCATTCCTTCTCATCCTGTCTTGTGAGAGGCCCATAACCCTCCCGCTACTCCTGGATCCAGTCTCCCAAGACTCCGGCAGACTCTGACACCCAGACCGTCACTTGCTACACCTGACAGCTCCGTGGCTGACGGCTGCGGAGCTCCAGTGCTCGGCTTGTGTTCAGGAGGTCCTGTTGGGAAGTAGGAAACCTTCCGCTAGGGCCACGTACCTGGCAAAGTGGAAGAGGTTCTATATCTGGGCTTCCCACAGAGGGATTTCCCCAAGAGAAGCCCCAATTCCCCTGATCCTGGACTACATCTTGGATCTCAGGCTCCAGGGACTCTCCTCTTCCTCCATCAAGATTCATTTGGTGGCCATATCCACTTTCCACCCTGGGCACGGAGGGAAGACCCTGTTTGTGGATCCCATGGTAAACAGGTTCCTTAAGGGCCAAGATAGGCTTTACTCGCATGTACGGCAGCCCACACCTCAGTGGGACCTCAACCTGGTCCTATCTAAGCTCATGGGGCCCCCATTCGAACCCCTAGCATCCTGTTCCCTCCTTCACCTGTCCTACAAGGTATCTCTCCTGGTGGCGATCTCGTCTGCTAGGCGGGTGTCTGAGCTCAGGGCGCTCACTTCAGATCCTCCCTATACAGTTTTCTTCAAAGACAAAGTCAGACTTCGCTCCCACCCCACCTTTCAGCCCACGGTGGTCTCCTCCTTCCATGTCTTCCAAGACATATTCCCACCAGTGTTCTACCCTAAGCCTCATGCGTCAGGGAAGGAACAGGATTTGCACACCTTAGATGTCAGAGAGAGCCGTAGCCTTTTATTTAGACAAAACAAAACCATTCCGTAAATCGCCACAACTCTTCCTGGCCATTGCAGAACACGTATGGGGTCAGCCGGTCTCTACGCAGAGAATTTCCTCTTGGATCACTGCCTGCATCAGTGAGTGCTGTGCTCTGGCAGGAGTCCCAGCCCCTCCTTTCACAGCGCACTCTACCAGGGCTGTGGCCTTCTCCACAGCCTTCGCAGCGCAGGTCCCGATCTTGGACATCTGCAGGGTGGCCACGTGGTCCTCCGTCCACACCTTCGCCAACCATTATGCGCTGTCACATCTCGCCAGAGAGGATGCTGCCCTGGGTAGAGAGGTTCTTCACTCCACAGTAACCTGAAACTCTGACCTTCCTCCTCAGGTCCTGCTTTGGAGTCACTGACAGGGAATGCACATGAACAATCACTCGAAGAAGAAAGAACGGTTACTTACCTCATAACTGTTGTTCTTCGAGCTGTGTTGCTCATGTTCATTCCAGTCCCACCCGCCTCTCCTTCTCCGGAGTATTCCGGTAAGAAGGAATTGAGTAGGTGGAGGGCCAGCAGGAGTATATATTGACTGGTACACCTACGCCACTCCAGGGGGCTCCCTGCTGGCCCGACGGATACTGCTGAGGGAAGAATCTCCGACGATGCGTGCACACTGCACGAATACACCTACATGGAATGGACATGAGCAACATATCTCGAAGAACAACAGTTACGATGTAAGTAACCGTTCTTTCCCCACCTCCATAATCTCCCACAACTATTAAAATGTAAATAGATAAATATAGAAAAAGTGCTTACACTTAAACAGTTACATCTGTCAAAATTGTAAAACAAAACTCCCTTGCCTAGTTATGGTTCTGTGGTGACGGATACATACGCATTTTTGTCCGCTTTTGACGTACTTTATTTTTGAACACTCATATATCTTTGGTTTATGTTTCTTCCAGGCTGCAGACTTAATTATTAACCCAGCTACTACTTTCAAGGATAAACCAGACCCCAGTGGTTTGGTGTTCGGAACTGTTTTCACGGACAACATGCTGACAGTAGAATGGTCTTTGGCTTCGGGATGGGAGAAACCCCAGATTAAGCCTCTTGAGAACCTTTCCTTACATCCAGCCTCATCAGCTCTCCACTATGCTGTGGAAGTGAGTACCAAACGGATTAAGAAATAACCTTTTATTTACTAGCTTTTGACAACATCACATTGTAATAGGTCCTAAGTATCATAGGGTATGTCTACACTACCCCGCTAGTTCGAACTAGCGGGGTAATGTAGGCATACCGCACTTGCAAATGAAGCCCGGGATTTGAATTTCCCGGGCTTCATTTGCATAAGCCGGCCGGCGCCATTTTTAAATGCCGGCTTGTTCGAACCCCGTGCTGCGCGCCTACACGCGGCACGGGCTAGATAGTTCGAACTAGCTAGCTATTCCGAACTATCTGTACGCCTC